GTGGTACAGGAAAATCACAACTTATTCGTGCTGTTACCGAATATTTTGTTATTACAAACAGAATACAAAGGATGCGAAAGCTAGCACCTACTGGAATTGCAGCCGCTGAAATTGGTGGTATAACTATCCATTCATTTTTAGGTGAACAACGCAATTCAGGAAAGCCACGAACTATTAAACCAGGCGACTTGAAACTTGAAAAAGAATGGACACTTGTGGAATATCTATTGATTGATGAAATGAGTATGGTTAGTTTGACTTTACTTGGAAAACTCAATCGAATTCTTTGTGCCGCTAAACATGCCGATCCACAAATTCCATTCGGTGGTATAAACGTGATATTCTTTGGTGATTATTTACAGTACCGGCCAGTATACGATGCACCGTTACATACTGACTTTTCGCCGGAAAATAAAAAGAAATCCAACAACATATTGCACGTTCTTTAATTCTACAAATTAATTGCGTGGTCAAACTTACTGCACAGATGCGAACTGAAGACACACGATATCTTCAGTTACTTGAACGACTTCGTCAAGGCCAATGTAGATATGAAGATTATGAATTATTATTGGCGCGTGTTGTGGGACAACCAACCGTATCTCTTCGTGAACCGCCATGGAATCAAATAAAATATATTTCTCTACTCTAAATAAACATATTTTCTCTGTTTTTCTTATTTTTAGGCTCCCATGCTTGTACTTAGAAATGAAATACGAACGCAATTGAACCACAGATCAGCAATTCATAATGCAGTAGAAGTCGGTACCAATCTAATGGTATGTATCGCTCAGGATTGTTGTAAAGGCAAGGCTGCGGAGGAGCCGGCACTTGTGAAAAAATTATTAGAACTATCTGATAGTAAGACTGAACATTTACCGAGTTTATTACCGTTAGTTTCTGGAATGCCAGTTATAATCACACAAAATATAGCTATTGAACTGGGATTAATTAATGGCATGAATGGCATCTTTAGACAACTAGTTTATGATATTGATTCAGTGTCAACAGATAGTCTTTCAAAAACTTTTCCAACAAACACCCAATATGTTCATAAGCCAATATATGCATTGGTCGAAATAAGCAAATCAAAAATTGAATGTAATCTTTAAAATCTTCAACCAAAACTTATCCCAATACCAATAACGGAACAAACATTTCAGGTTGACATTTCTGATATTATTCCGAAAATAAACAATCAAAAATCAAAAATAAACAGAAAGACAACGTTATCGATTAAGCGACGCGCATTACCTCTTGTACCGGCCTATTCTATTACAACTCACAGAAGTCAGGGATAAACTTTAAACAAAGTTGTAATTGATTTAAAGTTACCAAAATATACAGATGATATCGCTGCAATCTATGTACCATTATCCAGAGTCAAACGTTTAACTGATTTAATTATTTTGCGACATTTCGATTACGAAGTCTTACTGATTAAACCCAGCAAATCTCAAGTCGCCGAGATGCAAAGACTAGATAAACTCTACATCGAAACACAGATGCGTTTTTCAGAGTGGTTTTAACAAATTTTACAGAACACTCCAAATCTTCATTACTTGTCATCCATTTTTCGCATGGGATTTATTTGCATCTTTTGTAGTTGAACAAATCTCTTGTATAATTCAAACCTTTTTCTATTCATTATTGTTTCTAAATAAAAGTGCAAATTTTCATGCGAATTTTTCCGCAGATGTATTTTTTGTTTAGCTTGTCTGATTTGTATTCATTTACATTCAATATTCACTTGTTTTTTCTTTTCCTTTGTGTAGCTGATCATTATATCATTAGTGTGNTGGTTTTGACAAATTCGATAGAAAAGACAAATCACCGTTGCTTGTCATTCATTTTGCACATCGGATTCATTTGTGTCACTTGTAACTGTGCAAATCTCTTGTATAATTAAACATTTTCTCTGTTAGTTCATTGTTTTGTAATCGAAATCCAAATTTTGTTTTCAATTTTACCATAACTACTATGTTTTGTTCCACGCTTCTTATTCGTACTCGTATATACTTTATTCATATTTTGACTTCTTTAGAGATTTAGTTAGAACTAATACAAAAAAGTTATTTGCTTTCTTTCATGTAGTTGTTTATTATATCATCAACTTGTCTTTATTTCATTGAAAAACAAATAAATAAACTTCATATTGGAAAACATTTTCTCTTATATGAAATGAAAAAACAATAGCAAATTGATTATTACATATGAATCTTTTCAGTCGAGGGTAATGCGAGTCCGTCTCGACGAGCGTTATTTATATTGTATCGTCAAAAATAGGTTGGAATAAATTTATCAAATATGTAATGAATAAGGTGAGACAGAGGATTTCATTGATAAAATCGTTTAAACTTTTCGGTTGTACATCACCTACTCTGCGTAAAACTCTGTTCTTAGCTTTTGTACTTCCTATCTTTACTTGGGCCTATCCAATATATCCATTTCTGACTGTAAAACAACAAAATGATTTATCGCATTTTTATTTCTCTTCATTAAGACGTGTTCTGTTTTGTTTACATTGGAATGAAGATTTTTTTGCCTTCGCTCTTGATGAAAAATCTTTTGAAGATCGTTGTGCTGCATATTGGGAACGATATTTATATGCTCTTGCTGACTCGACTGATGGGTATTTATTATTTGAGAAAGCCAATTTTAATTTCTTTAGATAGAGCTGGATTAATAAAGATTTTTCGATAAAGTGTCTTTGGCGTTCGAAACGTTTTGTTGATAATGATTCAGCTATTGAAAAAGTAGTTAAATGGTTAGGATCTGTTCCTTCTCGCTCATCAATTCCTAATTATGAATTAGATGAAATCCAACTCCTCGAAGATTTTCCTGAGTCTTTTCTTCTTTGATTTTTTATTTATATTATTGTTTCTAGTATGATATGGTGTATTTATTTGTTCTTCTTATTTCTTATTTCTGTTTTCTCTCTCTCTAGTCAGTGTAATAACACTTTGATGTTTGGTGAATAGTATTACTATCTTTCTTCTATGTCTTTACTTGTTTTCTTTTTTATTATTTTTATATTAACCTTATACTTTCACGTACCTACAGGATCATATTTGATCACAGTTGTTGCATAATTAAAAAAAAAAGCTGATACCAAATAATTCGCTCGAATCATTGCTCTTATATAGTCTAAAAGTGAAATCATTCGATTTTTTGCACTATTTTGAATAGATTGAATAATAACATTGACTTTATCTTCAAGTTCATTCTCGGTTAAAAGAATATTATTGAGAAAATTTTCTATTTTGAATTCAATTTCACTTTGAAGAACAGTAGTTTTAGAATATGAACAAAGATTTGATAATAATCGAAACTAAATTCAATAAGAAAATCTTTCTATTCATATTATATAATCTCATATTGAACATTTACCTGAGAATATGCAGTTGTTCGAAAATCTCCTGTTTCATATCGACTGGGATTTTTCAAATATAATCCTTCAATCCATTCTTCACGTATGAAAATACTTGAACAAACAGAATGAAATTCAATTGTATTTTCAATAAAAGTATTATAAGGTATAGTAACATTTGAACATGGACATGTAAGAGTTTTCTCATATTTTAACCCTTCGTTTGTGTCCTCTTTTTGGAACTTCATCTGTGTCGTGGGGTCCGAATGGACCCTACGGGAGAATACTACAAAAATTAGGTTTTCTTCGTCTGTTCATGCTACATATACATGCGCTATCAAGAGATATCACCACTTCACAAAGGTATTCACTCTAGATTAGGAATCTGAGAATCAGCCGCATTAGTCTAGTGGATGAAAACTGCATTGATATGTAGTTGAAAAGCTATTCATCAGATCAAAAGAAAAATAAGTTTCTTGTGACAAGTAACTTCATTAGTCTACTTTTATACTTCTTCATCAGTAAAATGTTTGTAAAACAATAATTTCTGTTCTACGGAATGTAATTCTTCTGATAAAAATTTCTTTCATAATTCATTCAGTGGAGTCCTAGTCTTTGCACTTCTCTCAAGTCACTATCGTGACATTAGAAGAATGAGAACAACATACAGTACGTTTACAACTGTGGCAGATTTGTCGAATGTTTCTTCCAATGCGTGCTGGACATAGGTAACATCTTTTTTTTTCCTGATTCGAAACTGTATTGACATTGAGTGGTTCCATAGTATTCGACCGGATAGGATAGCCAAGAGAGAGAAAAGCAAGTTTCACTTTCGGCACAAGAGGCGATTGTTGACTACGCCGCTGATTGTGAAAAACTGTCAATTCCATACTCAATTGAGATAAAAAGATTCGGCGAATATTTGTTCTTCCACTGTTCCAGATGGAACTTTGGCATAACCATATTGTCATCGCATTTAGCGCAGCAAAATCGATCATTGGCCATCGCCGAGTGATTTGTCTCGTGATGTAGCTATTCACACATTGATCGGTGACGCCCACGCCACATTTTGTCTGATTGTAATCGTAGATGACACATGGTAGTTTTTTCTCATTGTCGAAAGTCTCAGGATAATTGTGCAGAGAAGGTAAAACAATAACTGTTTTTTTTTCTTTCCTTGTCTTGATAAGATAGTAACATGTGTGATTCAGAAAAAAAGAACCAAGAAGAGAAAAGTTTTTTCGACATACTTTCAGTTCATTCAGCAAAAACGACCGCTTGTAATCGACTATGCTCCAATATAAGTCATTTTTCTTTCTAATAATTCTTCAGATAATTTGATATTGACGAAATAACGATCGAATGTGACACAGCGACCTTGTTCGGCAATTTATCAATCAGATGAAGACCAACAGTGATGCTCCAATTTCGCTGTATCACGTTCTCCTTTCTTCCAGTGTATAAATCGAATGATTTTCGTAATTGGATTAATAAACCAAACAGTATTTTCTTTTTCTAATGTTTCTGGTTGACGATCTGCGGTTGAATCAGCTGGATCGACACCGGAATTCGATGAGTCAGACCTCTCCGAAACGTGTTCTTCAGCAGATGTGTCATCAGTTTCACTAGCAATATAATCATAATCGTCGTGCGAATGTTCATCGTCAGTATCGATTCTCTTGTGTATTGTGTCGTTTTCATCTGTCAACAGATTCCTCGAATTCGTTTCAAATTAGATCTGTGCGTTGTGTTCATCATCTAAAATAAAATAACGTTGAATCTCATGTCCAATAGATGTTAGTTCTCATCAGTAGTTTGGAAAGATCTGTTAGTTTGAATATTCAATAAAAAAAATCTAGATGAGATGGTGCTACTGATTAGAGAAAGTGATTAGTTGTTTCCACCGAAAAGAAAATGTAACTCTATTACCTCATTGACGGACAGAGGGACCATCCAAAATAGATGTATTCGCAAAGGCTATCGATAAAGAAAAGATGGCAGCTTCACCAAGATGAAAAATCATGTATATCATATCGTCTGTGTCGTGGGGTCCACGTGGACCCATAGTCTAGTTTTCTTGTTTATAAAGCTATAGATGGGTTTTCTTCATGACACTAAACACCAACATTAATCGAGAGATTACATCAAAGAAAAACTCTAAAACATCAAATAAGAAAAGAACACTGGATAAAGCACTGTCAAATGGGCCCGCTTGAACCCCAGGATACAAACGAAGGGTTAAATGAAGTTTATTAAATAGAATAGAAGTTATATTCGATTCGGTGACAACTCGAGATTTTATTTGAGTTAAACTAGTATAAAACAGAATGTAGATCGATACTAAAGAGAGAAAAGAAAATAAATATTCCAAATATTGGTGTAGTGAAGTAATCAGAAAATGATGGACGATTAGGCGCCGCTCTATTAGATTTAGGGCTAAAATGTGAAACTCACATCCTTATTTTTTGGAAATGAGAATATGAGTGAGAATAGAATACTCATAAACTAGACGCACTGTCACTGCATGCTTTTCTTCATGTTAAAGAAGAGAGGAGGGACGAAGAACAAGGCGCAGGTCTTTATTGCATTACAATGCTTCTTGTCTAGCATGATAGAATATAATGAAGACATGCGGATGTATGAATGACGCCTATTCCCATATACATTGAAATGGGAAAGGGGTGGGGTCCATAGTTTCCTCGACTTAGAACTTACACTCATTTATTTTTCTCGAAAAAATAAATGTGATTTGCACAATACATTAGTACTCTCTAATACTTTAACAAAGATGTAAGCATAGAAAAGTGTGTCTAATGTCTATGGTACATTTAAATTGATGATTGTAGGTGAATTTACCTAAAAGAAAAAGAATATAAAGCCAAGTTGTATATCGTTGTTGTTTAAGAATAATAATTGAATTTCTTTGTTCATTTTCATCCAAATCGAAATCATCTTCTTCTTTTATAAAAAGATTATAATTACGTATTCGATCCATTAACGAATAAAATATGTTTTTGATCTCCATTTTATGTAATAATATTACATTTACTGAATATTATATATATTTATATTCATTAATGAAGTGTTTTCTTTTAGATAACTGTTTTCTGTATTTGAATATCATATTGATATTTCATATTTTGTTGAACAAAGTTTAATGCCATGTAGGTGTAAATGCTTCAATCATCTATGTCATGATTTTCTCTTTATACATCAGCTGAAAAAGGGTATGAATTAATATTTACTGTAAATATTAATTCCTGACATAAATTGTATATTTTGTTAACGAGGCAAAGACCTTATGTTCATACCCATCTGTATAGAAAAATCTCTCGATTTTGTTATTTTCATGATTTCTTTACCATTGATTCTCCTAGTCGAACATCTTGTGCCCAAGATCTTCACCAAGATCTTGGGTACAGATAAGTGAACAGATCTTGCAAATTTAGGTACAGATATTTCAATTATCTTGTACATAAGATCTTTGATAAGATCTTTGGTACAGATTGTAAAGATCTTATATAGGATCTAGCATTATCTTACGTATACCTTTTCAAGATCTTAGCTGGCGAAAATTAATGTCTTGACTGTAAGATTTTGTGTTTAGTACGATATTTATTTTATTTTCATCATGTAAAATTAAACTTTACAAAAAATTAATCATTATTTCAAAAACTTGCGCAAATACATTCACATCTGACAATTAAAACAAATCACACACAATAACACATACTTAAAGAATCACATACTATAAATAAAATAAAAAGTCAGAAAAAAGAATTAAACAAAATATAAAAACGATGAATCTTTGCTAATTTTGTATTGAATTAACCTTCGCCATACAAATACATTTCAGGAGTCGATGAAAACACGATTATACAAATCGTTTGATCGAATTAATTATATCTAGAATACAGTAAAACCCCTCTAATGTGAACACCAATGGGACTTCGTCAAATCGTTCAGATAGACAGGGTGATCAGTTAGGAGGGGATTAATGAAAAAAGTTTTCTCAGTAAAATAGTCTTTTGTGACTATTTCTTTCATTCTACAGACGTTTATTCAGATTAATATTTAGTTATTCATAGCTTGAGAAAATAGTTCATTATTTCGAAAGATTCCAGATTGATACTCCAGATGCAGATTTGAAGTAATTAAAAATCAATTCTTGTTTTAATAAATTCGAATCGAATAGAGCATCAATTATTTTGTATTGTAGCTGGAAAATTTCCGATGAGAAAAATCTTTTGTTTTAACTAAATTGATTCTTTCTTACACACAAAGATCTGTCAGAGAAGATATTTAATTAAGTTACAAGCTATTGACTACAATTTACAGAATTAAAAACGTTCATATATACAAGCAATTAACTTTCTCTCTCTCTCTTCCGTCAATTAACGGACAGGCCAG